CGAGACGATTGCGTTCAGACTTCCGATATTCTTCACTGTCATCGCGACGTTTTTTTTGCGTTAAAGCCTCTTTTTCACGAAATTCAGACAATTTGCGAAGGTTAGCGAGACGATTGCGTTCACATTCTTGATATTCTTTGTGTTTATCACGGTACGCCTTCGTTGCTTCAGCTTCCTGAATTTTAATGAGCTCAATTTTACGCCGTTCAGCCTGTCGCATTCGTTCTCTTTGTTTGTATGGAATAGCTGGTTTTTTTCTTACTTCAGCTTTATTCTTTTTCTTTTCACGTAGCCTTCTCATTTGTTGTTTTGATTGACGTGTCCTATGAGCTTGTGATTGTTTCTGAGATTTCATTTTGCTTCTTGTTTGTTATGTAATTTAGACACAATTATCATTACACTCAAAATGGCACTCTGCGGAAATCACTGTTAAAATATGGTTTGTTTCTGAGTTGTGTTGTTCGTTAATCACTTTGTTTCCAGTTCACTATTAATTGTAACTATTTTGTATGCACTGTTTTTTCTTGAGAAAAGATTGCTTTAAATTGATGTCACAAAAGGGAAATGATTGTATTGGTTTGAGTTATCGTTCAGAATTTATTGTAATTCCAATGATACTATGAGTTCTGAAAGAGAATATGAAAAATTATGGGAAATATGTTCTGTTATTGTTGCATTGCATACAAACAACAGTTCACATTGAACGAGTTCATTTACATTTTTGTTGAACGTATAAAAAGAATTTCCATCAGTCAAATTTCATGTGCTTGTAAATTTTTGCACAATCAATGAATCAGCATATTTCTGTTGCAAAATGGTTATCACTTTTTTGTGTTGCTAGCATTGGCGTGAAGTTGGCCGTCACAAATTTCGAATGAGTTTTGTGACATTCAAGAGCGAACATTTGCTCAGTGTTCGAATTGAATTGGATTGTGTTGAGATGTGAATGTTGCACAATATGAAAATCCAAATAAGATATTTTACAAATATCAACGAATATTATAATTTATTTTTCATTTTCGAATGTCATTCAATTATTTTAGATTAAAGTAATTGCACCTAACTTCATTTTACTTTTAATCAATGGCATTGCGCACTAAAGGACTGTCGTGCGCGCTACTTGTGATGGTTTTCTCAAGCCATTGTGCATAAAACGCACAACATGAGTCGACGGAAACTTCTATTACAACAAGAAACACACAAATTCATAGGTGAGATTTAAAGCATTTTTTATTGTATAGAAAATTTGTTGAAAAATAATAAAAAATGTGAATTGAATGCAGTGACTGTGAGTGAGTAAATGAAATATGATGTATTAGCTCATGAAACGCACAAGAAATCGGAGTCGAAGCTAGAATAAAATTGTGTATAACATTTTATTATAAGAAAATTCTAAGGAAATTTTGTGTTTATGCCACTCGAAATATTGATAATTTGATTTTAGTTCGTGTGAAATATAAGCAATACATGAAAAATTCGTGTTTTCAATTCATTCTTCTTTTTGAGTTCTCTCTAAAAAAAAAAAATGCGAATGCTTCTTTCTGGAAAATTCCAAGACGTCAAGCTATGTTTGACATTTCTGTATGTTCATTGTTTGTACAATTCTGTGTGTTTAACTTGTAAACTCTTCCATACAAATATAAAATCGATCGAATAAAAATAAAGTTTACATTGTTTAATTTTATTATTTTATTGTTTGTTTGTGTTTGAGTTGCAGATAAACGAACAAAATGGATATGGAACAGCCACTCGTTGAAATGGATGTTGATCAGCCACTTTTAGATGTGGAAACAAACCTTCTAGATGTGAACGGCGATTGCTTGCAGCAAATATTTGGGCATTTAGATCTCGAAGATCTATTGAATATTAATCAAACGTGCAAACAACTCAAACCAGCCACTGAGTCGGTCTTCAAACGTAAATTTGGCAAAAAAACATTCAGAATGTATGCGTTTTATGTTCACTATGTTGAAGTGGGATCATACGATGTTCGAGTCCAGTCGATCAAATTATCGCTTCAACTGCTCCGATGTTTCGGCCGCAATATTTCAAAACTGGTTGCTTGGGGGCGAGAATGGTTTTTTCTTTCATACGTGAATGAATTTTGTCATGATTCTTTGGAAGATATTACATTTCATAATGTGCTCAAGCCACAACATTCCAATGAAGAATGTTTCATGGTTTTTAAGAAGCCTTTTGCAAATGCTCAAACGGTTCGCTTCATTACATGCGATTTGGATGGACAATTGAGAAACCTCAACGAATGGTTTCCGCAAATGCGTGCATTGGAGATTTCCGCTTGTCAAGCTGGACCAGAGTGTATCGAAGCCATTCATCCCCACTTGGAACAACTACAAATCATTGGACTTCACACTATTGATCGGAAGAATGTCGTGAGTTTGTTCCGCTTGAACCCACAACTTCAAAGTTTGATTCTGGACGTTAATTTCATGAGAACAATTCTTCGTGCCGCAAATGAACATCTGCCGATGCTGGAATATTTGAAAATTGATCGTGTTGAAAACTTTTTCACTGATTTTGGTAATGATGTTCTTCATTTTGGAAATCTAAAACGACTTTCGATCTTCTATAGCGGCAAATTGTCAGCTAAAATTCCGATTTCGATGAATTTCTTGGAAGAATTCGAGTGGCGAGCTGAGAAAATTGAATTGAACCATGTTTTTTTCGATTTTTTTGAAAAGAATTCGTCTATTCTTCAAATGGGTTTGTTCGGCCATTCAAAGTTAAGTGACGATGACATCAAAACGATTTTCGAAGCCCTACCATTGCTAGGGGAAATCCACTTTGGTTCGAACTAACAATTTCAAAAAATACATTTGCAAAAAAAAAAAAATCTTTTCTTTTTTTTTATTTCAACTAAAGTAAACATTTATTATTATAAATTCAACTCGACCAATTTACATTTTGTTATTTGAAAAATCAAAATGAAATAAAAAAGAAATTTGTAGAGCTAAATAAAACACTAATTTGTTCTTTTTTACTTTTTATTTATTTCTTTAAAAATTGGGTGTATACATCGTTAAATGACTCTATTGATTTATTTATAGGTGAAAGACATTTGTGCAATATTTACCTTCACACCTCTCTACACGAAAAATGAAAGTGTACTCATGAGTACTAATAATAATAGTGGACTATTATTTCTTTTTTT